TTTCAAGTGACGAAAAAACAACAAAAAGAAAAAAAGAAGCCTTTACAACGAGCAAACGTTCGCACCTCGTGTATTTCATTCAGTCTCAGTCAGAACTCTCACAGAACGAGACAAACAAACGCAGGCGATAAGGGATGCGCAGAAGCTTGCGCAGAACGTTTTTCCGCCCTGAAAGACCAACATTGACGTCACGGACATCACGTAGTCTCCAGTCTATCACGCGGCCATTTCAGAAACGTTTTCGTGAAGTCTTCGGAAATGCTCGGATTTTGATCTTTTATCTTTCTATAAAGGCTTGGGAAGAAAAATATTTACCCAAATCTCACTTAGGATGGTTCTTTTTAGTGTTTGGTGAAGGTAAAGCGACAAAAGAAAATACGTCAATTTTTTGGTTCATTTGACCTTTAAGACCAAAGCTACAACATATTGTGAATCATTCTTCAGTCTTAGTTTCAGATCAATTTTTGCAGATTTAGAAGTCTGAGAAATTCCTTAAATCACATGTTGTGCTCGAGGGGATCGTGGAGGTGGAGGGGCTCCCATTTGAAAGTGAGGCAGACGAGGACGCTTGTGGTCAAGGGTTAGGCGCAGCCTTTGGTAGCACGACGTCCGCCTGAAAGATCTGCCATCTTAGCAAGGTGGTGTTAGTACGACGTTTTAAATAAGTTTTTTTTATATACTTTTCATTTTCCTTGCTGTCGATTTCACAACTGGGATGCTTATTTTAAAAGTTATGTTGAGAGATTTTGAAATTCAAGTCAGTATTTGGCGGACATGAGGCTCAATAAGATTCGAACTTTTCTTCTGATACTTTTTATAGAACATCCTTGTGTCCAGAGAACTACACCTGTATCTGTATTAGGCGGAACTTACTGAAGGCCCTAGCTCCGTGGGTTCCTGCACAATAATGTATGCTAGTCTATGCTAGGCACTTGTTATGCATGCCATAATAAGTCTGATTGGCAGTCAAAAATATGCGTGCTATGTATTAGAGATCCCACCCATTGCGTCGTGTGATTCACAGCCCAGTGAATATCCTTTCCATACCAAATAGTTAGAGCATGTATCTGGAAGACGGCTTTCTCATATAGAATATGGCTGAAGCTCGAGAAGTTGCATTACCTAGTGGATACGATGATGAGTTTGTGAATTCAGTCGACGAAGACTTGCACTGTTCAATCTGTCATCTGCCACTGAAAGAGGCCGTACAGACGGGGAAGTGTGGGCATAGATTTTGTAGGCAGTGCCTTGATGAACACTTTAGGAGGTTGGTGATTCTATTAATTGTTTGAGTTGTATTATCATGCCTGTGTCATCAGATAGTTAGTCTAGCCAGAGGTTATTTACTGGCTTCGAGAGAGTGTTCATGCTTCCGGAAGCATGACGTAGCGACGCAAGTTGCCAGCTACGTGACTCGTCGACAGAGACTTTGATTTTGTAAGAAAGAGGGGTTATTAGCCCTGGCTAAGTGAAATCGCTTGTCATTGCTGTCGATCTTAAAATTATAGTCTCTCTTAACTTTTTTAAGGCTAATAAAGCGCAAATACGATGCACTCTAATAAAAATAATTATCCGAGCTACTCCATCGACTGCAAATTCGCTAAGTTCTCTTATGTTGAGCGAACAAACTTGGGAGCTGTGCAAAGTTTTAACACATAGCATAAAAAGAAAATAACTTCTACTTGAAAGATTTGAGTTCAAGGCTCTTATCAGTATAAAACAAAGGTGGCTCAATTCTCGGAATCGAGCCTGACCGAGTTCTGCTTCATGTTAATTTTACTGATTGTTGACTAGGTTGCTAACTGACTAACCGGTGGTCAACTGAAACATCATAGGTTGTTTTCTTTTTTTAGTTGCTACACAAGGCGTTTTTTCAAAGCATGAGTCCTTATAGTGTAACTTGTTGGCATTTTGTTTTCACTTAGTCCGACGCGATTGTTTTTCGCGTTCCCCACGGTAGACATGCACGGTGTATACTTATGAGAGTCTTCTGAGGAAAGAAAGTCTAAAAACGAACTTTTGACCCTGTTGTCACGATTTGTTAATTGAAGAAAGTTTGACTACTGTCGGCTAATGATGATTTGAAATGGAGTGGAATGATTTTACAGTGGAACCTCGATATAACAAACCTCTATATAGCCTAGTCCTCGATATAACGAACGATTCTTTTTGTCCCAGTAATGGCAAAATATGTGGAAAAGAACCTCCATAAAACTAAACCTCGTTAAAGCGAACAAATTTTTCCAGACCCTTGTCCCTTCGTTATATATCGAAGTTCCACTCCACATAATTATGTCCTTGTGTTGGTACAAACGTAAAGTTTAAATTCATAATACCGGCCAGCAGTGAAGCCAGTCTACTTCTCTCTCAATCGAAGTTCAGCCTGTACACCATGGACAACATCCCTTACTGAATTCTTACTGCAGTTCCGCAAGGTTTCATGCTTGTTTTCAATATACCGTCAATATATTCTCTCCTTTTCATTTCGATAGGTTGGAGCTCCTCAGAGAACCGTTAAATTGTCCTGTGGACCGGAACATCCTAATACGAGATAAAGTAGGTGATCTATTACACTGCCGGTCGTCTCATCATGCAGTATTGACTGGAAGCTGGCCAGGAGCGGTTCTTGAGCCTGCTTACTTTTTTAGTATTTTGTACTCACTGACTAATACTAAAATCTATAATTAGCCAAAGCTGACCTGACACTGCTATTAGACTTACTAGTTTAGTGAGTATCTGTAGGGCAGGACAGTATTTATTTTATAGACAATTCATTTCTGCGAAGAAAGAGGGAGGAATAATTTTTTCATGTGGACTTCTAATATTTACATCAAGAACTTACATAAAACATACACATTATTTACCGGGGGGAGGTGGGGGGGGGTGGGCTCCAACTTCTATTTTTTATAAGCAGTTTGGGCGGCACTGTTTGTGACTATTAAAAACTTAATCAAACCATTTTTAACCAACAAATTGTGGGAAAAATGAGGAGTATTAACCATGGAAAAAGAAGGGGAAATTAAAATGTGTTGCATGGGAACAACATAGTTTTTTTAAAGAAGGAGGTAGAGGATAGAAATAAGAAAGTATGTTTTTTTTTGGTCGTTTTTGCTATAATGATTAGAAAGAGGATAAAAGACAACGTTTAGGTGTGGGGGGGGGTGGGGGGGGGGGGGGGGGGGGGCTGCTACTTACATTTATCAAAAGCTATTTGAGGCAGGCTGTGTTGGGACTTAACATACGTGAACTGATACATTTTAAGACAACATAACAGGGGAAATTTAAGAGATTTACAACATGAAGGAAAAGAGGTAACTTAAGAATGATAATACGAATGAATAAGTATGTAAAGAAGTAAATAAATTAAAGTTACAATACCGTTGGATTAACATGTTCTTTTTTTCATTCATTAATAAAAAACGTATCTATATCAGCATAACTATCCTGTTTTTGAACATTGAAGATCGAGTAGCAATAGATTGTGTATTTGTTTCTTAAAAGAACGCTTTAAGAGTTTTCTCAAATTCTCAGAGATACTGTTCCAAATTTTAGCCCCTACGCTAAAAAGAGTTTTTGTGATGATTGTAATTGGTTTTTTTTGCGAGTCTCTTTGCATTTTTTATTCTAACACCATTCCATTCATCCATTGCCTGTTCAGAATCTGCTTAGAGTCTAATAAGCTATTACATATTCTCCACTGCTCCTTGTCAGTATAATTTGCAGGCTGTTTTGCCAATTGCGGACCTAGGAAAATTTAGCCTTTTAAACAACAATTATCATGTAATTCCCTTCCCCCTGTCCATTAATGGTGACTCGTCCCACTTAACCTCGTCGCAATAGTCATCTTTATTTATAGGCGAACAATGTAAAAGCCGCTTCATTTAGCCTTCAAAAACTCATTAATAATTCATAAAGAAAAAAATGAATGTTTAATGTTTAATGAATGTTCAATTTATATCTGATAAAGAAACGCACCCTTAAATTGTGCAGGTAAGAGATCTTTCAAACCACACCCAAATGTGTGTTTTTCAGCTAAAAAGGCAAGAGAAAATGCAAAGAATCAGTCCAATGTAACTCTGACTGGAATATCCGAATGAACATCCTTTCAACTACCTTCCATCGTCGGTGTCAGTGTACCGGGAATTTGTATATCAAACTAGACGCAGAATCACGGCTGAGAACTCAACACAATTTAATCAACACGTGCGCAAGCACATGGCAAGAAGATGCGCAATGTGCATGCGTGAAGTGCGTAAAGATTCATGGGATATGACAGCCTTTCCCTTTGAAATGAAACCTGTTTGTATAATGAGGAAAGAGGAGAATGGAAATCCTGTTATTTGGCGTCAGGAACAAGTGTTAGAAGTGCAGTGCTCGATTTGTACATAGGGTTTTTGGTAGCTTCGCTCCTCTTTGGTCAGATGACAACCATAAAATTTGCTTGACTACACATAATCTCCCAGAGGGTGAATGGGTTAAAAAACCAAACACGTAGTATATTTATGTGAGCAAACAAACAAATAAATGGTCGAAGGTTAATTTAACTCTTTGCTTTGTTTTTTTTAGGACATTTTCCCTGACAAGGCAACCGAAAGAAAGATACTTTCCTTCATCATCAAGTGTCCTTGCAACGGTTGCCAGTGGACTGGTGAATTGAGGTCAAAAACTGTAAGTAGCGCAACTCCATGTTGTTTCTACCACCGTGATTTATCGGTAAACCTGATGTAAGAAAATAAATAGAATTGTTGGACTGTCACAGTGTAACATGTGCAGACGTCACGCCTTCAAGACTTGTGTATTATCAGTTGTTGTATTTAACTGTATAAGAATACTTTCAACTAATACGGAGAAAGTGCATCATTTTCGTGCATAAACTTGGTAGGTGCTAGAAACTGTCAAGTGACTTGAATGTGCAAACTGATAAGGAAAAACCATCCTTTGAACAACTAGTTTTTACTATGATGAGAGATGGGGAGCTTCTATTTTATAAACTGACAGTTCATCTTTCTTGAATCAGCTAAATCAGCACTTTATTGCTCGGACATCTTGCCCTCAACTTGACATTGGTTTTCTTTTATGATTGATTTTTACCTTTAGAGTTAACTGCATGTTAATGAGAAAATCTTATATAATCACATAAGCTAAAAGGGATAGAGTATAAAAGTAGAGAAAATCTATGATTAATCGGAGAAAGGAGCTGGAGACTACGGAGAAAGAAAGATGGAGAGAAAAAGTAAAGGCGGGTGAAACTAAGCAAGACAAAGAGAAGAAGAGAAGAAAACAGAAGGAAAGAGTGAAATAGTAAGCGATAAAGCTAGTACGGAACTCATGTAAGGAAGGTGTAAGTCTTTTACTTCTGAATTATTTGTCTTTGTCCTTCTGAGAGTTCTCATCACTCCCACTTCACACTGTTGGAACACGTCTCCCGTTACAAATAAGTAGGTTGAATATGACTGAGTCCGGGAGAGTGTAGCATAGAATAGCATAGTCAATAGGGTAAGTTAATGGTATTTAAATATAATTGGTTACAATAGCTAACAAAAAACAACTTACTTGGGTGTGATGATAGACATGATAGTTTTCTGCCTTGTCCAAGAACTAAACTGTCAACACATGAACACTAACCTATAATTTTCTTTTCAAAAAAAGGACCACTTAACGTCATGTCCCCGTAAAATTGTGGGCTGCACGAACAAAAACTGCTCTGAGACGATCACAAGGGACAAGCTACAGAAACACGTGACCACCACGTGTGCATGGAGGATTCTTCGTTGCGCTCACTGCAGTGAATCACATCCGAAGTGTAAAACTAAGGTAAGAATCTTGATTAATTGCCCTGCTTTTGCGAGCTTGTAGAGGAGTCTATCATTAACATACCGTTGGCATCGGCAATAAAACTATGAATTTAGGTGAATTCTGCTGTTTCAAACCCAAGCCAGCAGAAACAGCAACAGCGTCAACTGCAATAAACGGTAACCTGCATTAATGCGTCCCTTACCAACCTTCCACATAGCATTATTTTCATTGTCTTCACCTGTATTTACTTTAGTAAGCGGTCAGTTGGCCTTACCAGCTCTACCGGCGGTGACCTCTTAACTTGGGTTTCGCGGTAATTTCAATGATTTTATTTTCTAGGCCCATCACGCCGACTGTAAGAAATTTCCATTGAACTGTTCTGAAATGTGTGGAGCTGTCATTCCGAGAGAAAAGGTATTAATACTACATTTACAGTATTAAGCGCAATGAAACAATAGCCAAATAAATTTTATAACACAAGGCCTTACGGAAACGTCTATACCAAGTCAATACCTGCGTTACGATTCATTTATACAGCTTCTGTTCGCTAAAAAACAATAAATTTTTCTTTATATTTCGTCCACTTGTTGTATTGATTTTCCGTAAGATACGTAATAAAATATGCAGATTAAAAATAGAAGGTTCCCCGGAGTTTACACCCGTAAAAACGCTGAATATTCATTAACGAAACAAAACTTAATTTGGCTTTTGTCATGAATTTAAAGGGATAAATAATTTGAACGTGTGCCGTCTCTTTAATGAAACAAATTTTTTAAAATGGGAGGTTCCCTTGATAAACTCGTACACACGCACAGCTTTAATTGCAGGATCATTCCTTCCTCCCAGAATGAGAAGAAAAGAAAATTGTAAAGAAAGTCGACCAGACAAGAGCTTGCATAGCCTCCTTCGCAGGCAACTCCTTTTGTAACCGTTACACTGATCTCCGTTCTCTTCCCATTCTCCCACCGTTCTCTGAAACAGGTTGAAGGAAAAGACGTCGCCTCCCCCTCAGCTAGGCGAGCAAGGCGCACTAGAAAAAAACTGGGTTACCCAAGAGACTTGGCAAAAAAAGCGCCCTTCCCTAGTTTCCCTCCTCAATTTCTTTTCTCTTCATTCATCTTGGGGCTCAGATTTATCTTCGGCTTGTCCTTAACAGTCTTAACATGACACAGCCGACATGTATGATGATAGGGGGAAGATC